AAAAAATACATTTAAAGAAAATTTACAGAAAATGTTCAACCATTAAATTTTACTTGTGCTAATCCTGATTTTATATTTTCTCTTTAGGAAATAAACATGAGACACCAATATGCAATGTATTGGTTATTGCAACTGTCCTACTAACCTGTTTTGAAACTGTCTCAATGCTATTTCTTTCTCAATAAAATTAATTTAAAAAGGAAATAAGCATGGAGTGAAACATGATTGTGATCTCAGTGCTTTGGGAGGCTGAAGCAGGAGGATCACAAGTTCAAGCCCCATCTGGGCCATCTAGTGCCTTAGTGCCCAATCTTAAGTTTTTAAAAAAGGATCTTGGGATGCTGTTCAGTGCAAAGGCCCTGGGTTCAAGTACCAATACAGCAAAATAAAATAATTTTTCATTTTTAAAAAAGAATAAACTTCATAACTAACGCACAGCCAAAGTAGCCAGCGCTCTTACCAACCGCCCTGGCAATGATGTGCTTGTGCAGTTCCTCCGAGAGATAACCGAGCTCCTTCCTCACTGATTTCAGGGTGTCTTCCAGGACCTCTGCCCAGTGGGCCCAGCTCTGCAGCTTGGGTTCGCTGAAGTAGACTAAAGGCGGAGCTCTGTCCCCCGGCGGCCCCAGCCACTCACTGAGAACTGACACAGTTCTTCCTTTATCATCAACAATTCGAGCTCAAATGAAAGAACTCTACTTCTTGTTTAAAGTACAACCGAGCTGGGCCCGGTGGCCCATGCCTATAATCCCAACACTCAGGAGGCTGAGGTAGGAGGATCATTGCAAGTTTGAAGCCAGCCTGGTCTACAAGGTGAGCCAAGGCCAGCCTGAACTGCATAGTGAGACCCTGCCTCAAAACACAACACAAGGGGGCCTGGCCCTAGCTCAGGCCTTTAAGTGGCCGCTTCCACAAAGCTGTCAGCCTCAGGTTGCTGGAGTTCGATCACAACTCTCCCGCTGGCCAAAAGTGCCCTGAAGGCGTTCGAGGAACAAAAAAAAAAAACAAAAAACAAAACAAAAACGTAAAACAGAAACTCAGTTGTATTTTTCTGAGTTTCTCAGCCTTTCTCATTAGAAGTCTACAATTAAACAGCCACAACAGAGTAAGACAAGAGACTCTCAAAGGACACCGACACCATTTCCAACCCCTGTCCTTTACCCAGCAGGGTGGACGCACCTGGCTTGAAATTAGGAAATGAACTGCTTTCTGCCTTGTACCTTGGGAAGTGGAGTCCTGAACTAGGTAAGAACACACCTGGGGTTCTCATCACCCTAAAAGTGCGAAGGCCTGAGAGTGGTTCTTGCCTTCCTCGTGATCTCTCCTTGAGGAGCGTGGACGGGGCTCCTGTCCGCTTCGTTTCCCCTTTCTCTTACCAAGTCTGTGCGGAGGGCCTTACAGTGTGCTCTTCCAGAGGCAAATGAGGGGGGGAAGGAGGAAGGAGAGGAAATTGGGGTCCTGAGAGACGAAAGAGAGCCCCCCACGCTGGCCAGCCCTCTCTCCGCAGGCCCTGACGCGATCCTTGGGACATGACTAGGCACTGACAGCACAAGGGCTGTGGCTTCAACATGACATGAAGCCAGTGCGTGCTCTGTCACCACTACAGGGAATTTCTTCCCTCCAAGTCCAACACTCAGGCCAACTTCCCCAGCCTCGAAAGGGCCTCAATTTGGAAAAGAGCGGCAATGCTTGACAGGGTTTCTCCAGCAGTGCATTTCCTATTTGACAGGAAGCAAGCACGTTTTAAAAGGAAAATGATTCTCTTTACCACAGCAAAGCAACATAGTTTTCTTGTGGGTCGGGGGATGGGACATTTTGATCCTATGTTTGCAGTTTGCATTTCAACAGGTGCTTACTCTCGGGCGTATTTTCTCGGGCGCGGGTTCCTGTCTGATAACCTACTGCCAGTGAGCTAGGCAGGGCCTTCCTGCACCTCTTTGTAGCTGCAATTCACCTGCCCAAGTAAGTCCACCCTGACAAGCTCCAGCTGGGGAAGCTGCTCTGATTGCTTATTATTTCTCTAGATCAGCGACCTACACCTTTGCTTGGCTCAAAGATGACATTTTCAACACAATTTGATGCAAAATATTTGCAAAAAAATAAGTCTCTTCAAGCACACAGCCTGGGAATACAAAATTAAGTAATTTGAGAACGCTGTCCTTCCCTGAGGAGGTGACTGCGGACACGGGCCCTACCACTGCGACTCCGGTCCTTGGCTCCCGGTGGCCCCGGACGCGGGCAGCTGGTGAGCACTTACCGTGTTGGTACGAGCCTGTGGCGATCCCTGCGGGGGCTGTGAAGAGCGTGCCGGTGAGCCGAGTCAGCTGAGCAAGGGCCTCCACGCCTGCCTCTGTGTGGCCAAGGACACCCGCATCAGTCTACATAGGGACTCCTCAGCCACTGGCAAATAAATAGCACTAAGAGACGCCGGGGCTGGCAGAGGAGGGACAGGGCAGCTGTCACCTCCACCAGTGCCCACCCTGAGGTCCCGGAACTCACACGTTTCATTCATGAGGATTAAACAAGGGCCGGAGAGAGGGGCACAGGGTGGGCTGCTGCTTATTTTCAAACTTGGACTATTCAGCCCAATGATAGAGGAAAGTTGGCGTATATTATCTAAATAAGCTAACTCAGGACAATTTTTACTGTAAGGCAGACTGGAAACATAAAAGCAGGGTGGAATGCTGTGGCCCATATTGACTGCACTGTGGAAATCCTTCCTTTTCCAACGGCACAGTGTACAGTAGGGATCGCTGAATTCACAATCGATCTTGGAATGATACTCATGAACGGGCACACGTGTTCTCATTCCTTGTGGTCCCGGAGTAAATAATGACTTCAAACTGCATCAATCACTTCTTGGAACAAGAGGGTAGATATTGAAAGTTTTGGATTTCTCTCACAATAATCTTAATGCATTTCATTGAAAAAGAAACCAAGAGTCCCAAGGTAGCCCTTTAGTGAACTGATTTACTCAGTTGGTTTCAGTGAAAGTGCAATTAAGATTCACTGAGCAATGAACAATCATTTTTGTCTGCTTTGTTTTTGAGACAGGGTCTTGCTCTGTAGTGCAGGCTGACCCTGAACACACTGTGGAGCCCTGCCTGGCCTCAGAGATAGTGATCCTCTTGCCTCAGCCTCCCAAATGCTGAGACCACAGGCATTTGCAATGACTCCAGGCAGAAAGATTGTTATGAAGAACGACGCTGTAAAAATTGGATATCTGTATGTTAAAAAAAATTAAATCTTTGTTGATAACTTATATTCTATTTAAAGAAATGAAACAAATGGATCACCAACCTAAATGTCAAAACTGTAAACCAAATCCTAATGTGTAGGAATGAAATCTTTGTGAGCTTTGGTTAGATAGTTTTTAGAGATGATACCAAAAGCATGGTTTCTAAAGAGATGAGGAACCTAAGAACCTTTGCTCTTCAGAAGAAACTATTCAGAGGTGTAAAATATAAGACACAGGTAAGGAAAAAGCTCTTTCTAAAAATGTGCAACACATGTGAACAGACCATTCCCAAGGAAGATATAGGACAGATAAATATAGGACAGATAAATACACCAAAAGACACTTGGTCATTAGGAAATCGCAAATGAAAGCTGCAGTGACATAGCACCAGGCACCCCTGCGTGGCTGACGGGAAGCCCCTGAGCCCCTGAGCACTCGGGCGTGGGCCCTGGAGCTCTCGGCCTGTCCACTGGGAGGCTGTGTAGGGTGCAGGATCCAGCAAGAGAGCCAGGAGTTGGTCTTGGGCAGGGTTCCTGTCTGCAGGGCGGGAGGGAAGACAGGAGGAAGGAGAGGCTGGGGGAGGGGTGGCCTTGGTGTAGGGGGTTCTAAATGATTCTGTTTGCTTAGGAAAGTAAAGATGAAGAGACAAGGGTAGGAAGGACTGGATGAAGAGGGGATAGAACACAATTGTCATCTTCAAAGAGAGAAAATGAATAGTGAGGAAACGTGGTCAGACTGCCCAGTCTGCTAGCCCAGCTGGAGTGTGCGTGGGCCCACACTTCGGAATAGTTCTGGTGCTTCTTCCAGCAGGCCGGCTGCCTGGCCCAGGCTCTGAAGATGCCCCATGGAAACAGAATCGTGTTGCTAACCAGCTGGAGTGGGCCAGACAAAGGGAGATAGAGGCTGAGGCAGGAAGATCGCCGAGAGCTCGAGGCCAGCTTGGGCTACATAGAGTTCAGAGTCACCCTGAACTACATAGTGAGACACTGTCTCAAAAACAGGCTCAGCTCTTTGCAAAGCGATGAGGACACTGTGGGACAGTTAAGTCCAAGTTCATTGAGGAAGCTGCAAAAGATGAGGGTAGAATGACAGTGAGAAAGTGGAATGTGTGGACGAGTGGGACTTGGAGAGAGAATTGCTGGATGGGAAGATGTGAGCACAGGGTCTGGACACAGGCCGCAGAGAGTGGAGTGGCACAGCTGGTGGGGATGACATGCCAGGAGTGATGCAGCCTGCCAGGTATGGTGGCATATGCCTGGGGTCTAGCTGCTCAGGAGGCTGAGGCAGGAGGATTGCTTGGGCCTAGGAATTTGAGACCAGTCTAGGCAACATAGTGAGCCCTACCAAAAAAAAAATTAAATTTAAAAATAGATTTGCGGTCCTAATTCAGACTGAGAGTTTATCCAGTTGGTGAGGATTTCAGGGCTGGTGCCAGTGGCCCAGACTGCTACCAGGAAATGTAGTTTCAGTGCCATCGATTTCACTTGAGACAATTTTTGTCTTACTAGATTCTCTGTTCTCTTCCCTTGCTTCTCTGCTCTCTCTCTCTCTCTCTCTCTCTCTCTCTCTCTCTCTCTCTTTTTCCTGTATTTTAGGGAAGGGTCTACAGGATGTTCAGGGTCTCACTACTAGTTTGGACTCAAAGTGATTCTCCTGTT